AAATTTGCAAATTTAATGTCCTATATGCAGTTCTCGCTCACCGACAGCTTTGTACAAAGCTTGTCTCTGCGTGCAAAATCCTAATCAAGATATTCTAGTAACGTTTGGAATTTTATCTGTAATGTAATCAACCCTAAACTAAGGACAAAATGGACAAAAATTGGTCAAATGTAACAGGTTCAGATTAGACAATAGTTTGCCGTCGAAAATATGGTATTAAATGCCACCTATAGGGTATTTTTATACACATCAGCGATAGTATATATACTTTTTGTACAAACAATAGAGCAATACCGCAACTCGAAAATAAAGTGCTATGGGCTCTTTCTAATGAATGTCAGTGGCACTGTTGAGTAGCTTTATACTACCGCTAAAGTTAGTTAGGTAGTTTTCAAATGTCAAATAATTACATACACCTAACTGCATATTTTAATGATGATAATGATGATGTCTTAATGACCATTATTACCATGATAACTAAATAATGATTTAAAGTGCAACTAATCCCAAACTTAATTCTTGGTCTGGGTAATATTTGGATCATTCTCATAGGCGTACGAGACAGAGGCAGAGCGAGCGGCTGCCCCCATCACCCCCACCCAAAAAAACAACTTTAGAAAACCATGGAAATTCATACATGAAACCATACACATGAAACATTATAAAGACCAATTAACTATACCCTATCTAGCTATATATAAGATTCATAGAGAACAACTTTGAGATTACATGCAGTAGTTAAAAGTAATGTTTATAACACTAGTTTTAAAAGAGAAAAACGAGTCAATAGATTTTAACTCCATTGCTCGGCATTGGTAACGAGTTAAAAAGAATCACCGGAGTATTTAAAAGTTCTTTTCCCAAGTTGCGTTTGGGCTGTGGCAAATGCAAATCCCTTTTGCTTCGTATTATAATTGTGGTAGTCTAGTTTTATCAAAAAAGTTACCCAGATAATCTGGAACTAGATAATCTGGAACTAGATTGTTCCTAGCTTATACATCCATGACAATTAATAAGCATGCAGTGTTGCTAAATATTCATGTTATTTTATAGCCATGATCTTGATTATTAAGAATATATATTTCCTAAACATTGGTTCCCGCAAAAGTATATTATCCGTATCAGCGTGTCTGAACGGAAGAAAATCCTGCGGTTACTGGTTGTAACATAAAACGCTTCTATATCATAAATCCCTTCATTGCATTATGTTAAATATAGCCGGAAAATCCGTGCATTATGTTAAATATAGCCGGCTGATTTCCCTGTAGTTGAATAATGGCCAAAATTTCAATATTAGTGAGGTTCTGATTTGACTTTCATTACTGCTACCATTAGCCAATCAGATGCGTTTAATCTTCCCGATCAACCAATCACGTACGTGCTTGGTCAGAGGATGAGAGTTGTTTATTTCTCTTCTGTTTCTCTTTTAGAATTAGATCGAAAAGGTGGTTGCAGGTATTCAGATCCTGCATCACCTTTTCGCTCTACTTCTAAAAGAGAAACAAAAGAGATTTCGTGGGATTCTGGGATTTTATTAAAATTAGTAAGATTTTGGGATTTTTAAAAAAAATAAATTTTATTCTTGGCGAAGTGTATCATATATGTTTGTATATGACATAATGCTCATGATCGTGGTTCAGACGGATAGACTAAGTTGGTAAGGAGCTTAGCACCTCTGTAAGGACATGAGCCTTGCCATGCACATACATGCCCGATAGGCATTCTCTCGTGCAAATGAGAAATAATTCTGCCCTGTGTGTTCTCGCATTTAATCCTATACCTAGCTGCTGACAAGTGATCACTATTGCAGTGATTCATATTGCTCGTTAATACGGCGTACGACGTCAACCTGGCTACACCTATTTGTGTCTCCTATTCGTTTCTGGCCAGAGCATCTCGTCTCTAACAAAAGGCATAAAATGAAGTGAAATGCTTTCTTTGCATCTGTGACATTAGAGTAACCGGCTACTATACACATCTATTCGGCATTTTTTCAGTTTCGTGACTTTTATTTGCGCTATTGCCTTTTCTATGATGGCACATTAAGTCACACGCATTGTTTCGTCCCAGTCTCTTGCGCGGTTTTCAGATTTTTCACCAGGCAAAATTCAATGTTTAAACGGCAATAACTTTTAGACTAGAAATGCAATTTTGATTCTGTTTTCGAATTTCCTTGTATTTTGTATTATAGATTTCAAAAATGTGAACTCTCATTTTCTGACAGGGAGATACTTTAATGGTAAAAACTGAAGTGTCATGGTTAATCAGGACTGTCGAAGAAAAAGCCTATAATATTGGCTAGATTATAGCGCATTATATAGGCTTATAGCTTCTTGTGGTTTTTCACGAACAAACGTATCCCAGATCTCTCAAATACTTTAAGAGGCTGTTTCCATACGGTGCTAGAAATTCCAACACATCTTGAGAGGCTAGAATAAAGTAGACCCTCCATAGGCATAGAACAAATAAATAAGGTGTAAATTGATAACCTTAGGAGTTCAACTAACACATTAATTAGGGAAAGTAATCGAGCAAACAGTAATTAAGAAAACATTAATTAATTAGAGCGCTGGACATTTCGAACAATTAGATATTTGTATGCATTTGTATTTGTTTGCTTTCTGCTCGAAGATATCAGGTTTTTTATGTATATGTATGTTTGTTCATGATAACCTATTAACCTGTCTTGGCTCTACCACAGAGGCATTTCTGAATGCAGACATTTGGACGCTGTACTATTTACCCCATGACTTTAGATCTTATAAAATGGAACAGAACTGCAAAGATCCATTTCCACTCAGGAAAATTTTGCGCAGAAAGAAAATTTTGTGAAATGTGATTGGCCGACACAAATTTTCCGTCGGAAAAAATCAGTTTGAATTGAAAATTTTCAAATTTTCTGTCCGTGGAAATTTTTTTTGAGTGGAAATGGGAAAAGAAAGAAATGAAAGCTGTCTAAGAACCTTTTGCGATATCTTGAATTTTAAGTATATATGTTATTCTGAAGGCTGATACTGTGATAGAGTACGTTATATTTATATTGTTATGTAATAATATTTCATTTCCATCACACCATTACTGGTACATATAGGATATATACTTAATACAGCATCATTCACCTATAATAAACTAGCTTGATAGTGCCATAGAGTAAAATCAGCGAACATCTTGGTTACATATTTGGGGGTGTAGCTGCATATTGTTATTTATATGATTTGCTATTATATAAAGCAATTAAACGTGTTCTACGAAGATAAAGTGTGACATGTCTATCTCGGTGGGTAGAGTGATAGACTCTTCAAAACTAGGTTTGTTGTTCTAATGAAGTACGAGTTTTTGTAGTGATCTTGATTATGTTTTATAATAAGGTGGAACTTATTTTCGTCGTAGTTACGTGATTTATAGCCAGGGTTAACTGTAAGTACATTTTTTACGCGATAGCTTTATCCATTTTATAGAGAGTTCTCCTTAGAGATCATGGTCATTAGGGGCCATATATGCCTTATTCGTCCACCGTTGTTCCCTTGGAAATCAAACGGGAACAAGCAATGGTGTTTTTATTAGTAATTTAGAAACGCGGAAAACATTAAAAAATGCACGCTATGAAAAATGTTAGAAATCCTAAGCATCTTGAATGGCAAAGATATACATGACGTCATTGCACTGTTTGTGCGACTCAGTATGGACTCAGTCCAGGATAAATTCATTGAAATATTAATTCCACTGCTTAGCTTTGTTACCTTGCTAGGCAACGCCGAAAACAATAAAAAGTGCCTTTTGGGCGATATTTAACCTTGCCAAACTGGCCACATGTAGTTGAGCATGCGTCACAGCCAAATGAAGCCTATTTAATTAAGTTATTGCAAAATGCCAAAGTGTGACTGTTTTGTGCATGATGATTTAATCTAGTTTTTCTCAACAATGTGTTAATTCTTAATTAAGCTGTTGTTTATAGCAGTGTTGAACTCTGAACGTGTTCTCAGGAGCATATTTAGATCTTGCATCAGAAGATTGCGTTGGCGTTCAATTCCCAGACAAAGTTAGTAAAGAAATTTCAAAGACAACTTTCTTTGCCAAATGCCCACGCATGCATATTCAGTTGATATTACTTTTCCCACGTTTTCGTCAATTACTATAATAATAAGCAAATAGCCATTATTATACTTCTAGAGCTTTGATCGTTGGCAAACACACAACACATTGCTATACACGGAACATGAATGTAATCTAATTTGTGCATAAAATCCCGAACCTTTTGTTTTGTTTTTGATGTTACTCGAACAGACTTGGCCGAGTGTGTGGTATTTCGGAACTAATTCTAGTACCTTCGATACCAATGTGTTCTATTTGTGTTCTATGATCAGTTGGCAGAGCATTGGACTAGTATCCCAAAGGTCGAGGGTTCGATTCCCACTGTGGTCAGGCTAACTTTTCAGCCTGCCCGGTGTAGATATACATGCAGAGTAACATCAAAAACATTATATTCACCTGAGTACAAAACATCAAAACACACACGAAAAATACTTTTTGTTTTATTTTTGAGATGGAATAAAAAAATCGGCTACCGTTGTCGATGGAGGCTTTATTATTTAGCATTATTAATTTTTGCATTTCCCCATTGATTTTTAACCTGCATTTTTTACGTTTTCTAATTTTCTGGGCGATAGCCCGTGGCTGATGGGGGCCCCTAACTGTTGGGGCCCTTTAGTTTTTGAACTAATCCTACCTAATGAGCGTTACGCCACTGTCCTGGCTGGTTGTTCAAAGTTGAATTAACGCTAACCCTGGGTTAAAATTCATCTGCATTTTCCAAACTTCAAAAAAGAAACTCCGGTTGATCCAGAAGATCTTTCTGAAGAAATATTTCCAAGTTTAAAAAAGCTATTTGGAAGTTTTTTTCAATTTTAGGTTAATATGGAGCTGGCTGATCACAATTTCACTTTAATCGCATGTGTGAGAAGACCTATAATCCAAATTCAAAAATATATATGTTAGTGTGGTTTAGGTTTCCTTCTGTAGTAAAACTGCATGACCGATACTGCACCTCTTGATAGCTCTGTCGGTTCTAAAATCTTCTCCGACTCCGATGTAAGGGGCGGACCATTAGAAAAGTAATGGGGGGGGGGAGAAGCAAAAATAAAAATCGAGCAGGGGAAACAAGAAAAAAATTTTTAAAAAATTTGTGCAGAGACTTTTCGATAGGGAAAATTATAAGTTGTGTAAGGGTGGCCCCCAAATTTGGGAAATAAAACGTTTTTTGATATCAGTAATGGTGTGAGAAAAAATTTTCTAAACATAAATCATTGCAGATATTGGTGCAAAAAACGTGTTTTAAGCATGTTTTAAGAAGCATTTGTCAGGGAAAATGTGTTTTGAACATTAAATAAACTGATGTTAGTCCGGAAAATTCTTTTGACCCTTTTTTTATGTCCTGAAAAAAATTTTATGTCCACCAGCACTGCCCCTGCCAACAATTTTGGAAGAAAAAAATTCGAGCAAGGGATCAGTAAAAAAAAATTATCGACACAAGCAAAATGTTTTGAAAAAATGATCGTAAAGGTTGGAAGTGGACCACCCCCATCACTTTTCTAATGGCCCTAAATGAGACCGGTTTATTTAATTAGCTACTATCCATAGTAGCCCAGGGTAAACAAGCGGTAAAAATGTGGTCGTATTACAACTCTAGCTCTATATCTGACATTGATTTTTCAAGTGATAAGAGTATAGTATTGTTATGTCGGTGCTGAATAAATGTTTTCCTTCCGACAATTAAGGAAGCGTTCAGTTGAAATAGATATACAATTTATAATAATGGTTGGTCTTATGCCAGTAACGTGTCAGGATATATGTCCACAGTTTATTTTTAACCTTGCGTAATCATGGATTGAGTTTGTTTGGCGTATAGAAGCGCGTATACCTAAATTAACCTCGAAGATTTCCGTCTACCATGACAAGTTTTGTTGTTTTCCAAGCTTTTCTCTTGTAGTAACACTGGATCAAAAGGGATGATCTTTACCGGATCTCTAAAACTGATAGCATGTCAGATGACAAAAATGTTTTTATTCGAAAGAAGTTCACATTACTAATTGCCATTCTCCACAAACAACATAAGACAAACTGTTTGTAGTGATCGCATAACTATACTAATTGAAAGCAAACGGACTGTAATTCGAAATATTTACTTAACTCGGTGCTTAGATCAAGATAATATTGATCAAAATCGGTCTGACAGTTAACTCATTACAAATTCATAAACAGAAAGAAAAGTTGCAAAATTGATGGCAGTCATTTTTCTCGAGATTTTTCTTGTCCACTCTTTCATTTTTTACTAACTTCCCACGGGACTAAATACACACACCTCAATATAATCGTATTCAATATTACTTAGTTTATTTTGGTCAGAACCTTTTAACCTTTAGATTCGAGTTTTACTTTAACTGGACTCCGCGGGTATTATATATTGAATATATGCTCAGCATTTTCACACGAGGCTTTGTAGTAGCTATAACTTTATATTAGGCGAAAACGACTTTTATTTGAGCTTATATGGTTATATTTTGGAAAAAATTTCAACTCTTTAACGAGACAAATTATATAGGCTCTTTATATGCACATGAGCTAGGAACTGCGGTATTGTCTATATAGAATCAAACTGGAAATTCTCACACCCGACTGAGGTGGTATTCCTACATATTGCCGGCTCGAAGCCCGGTCACAGAGCCCAGAGGCAAAAAAACATATTAACGACCGTGCCACGAACAAGGGCAACAACGCAGAATGCTTAACTGCTCGACAGAACACAGACTGTAAAATCTCAAGCAGCCGGAAAAGGTTATAATCATTTAGAATTTATGGCCTCAAGGACTTAAGAGCTATAAGTACATAAACTTCTTAATATGTACGGAAGCGATCAGTATGAAAGCCAAAGCACACTGATAGCGGACACTCTGCGAAGTCAAAATAACTCGTTAGGTTGTCAGATAAGTTATATGTCGGGGGTTACGCAAAGCAGATGGTTACAATCAAAACACGGTGGTATGGTTATATCTTCAAACTATATCTACCTAAGTATGCAAAATTTCTTTGCCCGAACCGTTTCTTCCGCTAATGTGCATTCGTGTTTTTAGATTTGGCTGTTTGATGATGAATTGCCGGCTTCCGGTGTAATGCTGTATTTTCATATTGGTAGCCGCAACTGAGGTTCAGTTTAACAATTCTTCCATCATGGCTTCGTTGTCGCAACGTTTCCTTTGGATCGTCTTTCTTTGGTACTTCCGAATTGACGAGGTAAAAAAACAATTCTTCATTTATTTTTCCTTGTTTTTTTTTTAATTGAGTTAATATTGGCGATTTTCCCTAAGCATGCACTAATCAGAGTGAGAAAATAATTAATAGTTTTCAATATATGTAGTAGTCTTGTATTTGGTGGTAAATAAATATACGATTGAAAGGTCGCATACTAAAACATATGCCAATTCGCCTCGCGCGTGTCTCGCGCGTGCAGAGTGCTTTTGTTTTGACTCTACCGAACTCTACCGCATACTACAGGTTTTCCTTGGGTACTTTGTGGGCTCGGCCAGGGGGAGGGGGTGTCTGTATACCAAATACCTCATAAAAGGCGATCAAAATACCTATAATTTCGATATAAAATATACCTTATACCTGAAGAAAAACCATTAGATACCCCGGCCCACCCTAACTCTGGTTTAGCACTAGTCGAATAACGGACGACCCCTATCACTGGGTTTCTTGGGAGAACAGCGTGGAACTGATAGAGCTATCCATTATAAATATAGTTAGTTATCCAGTATAAATAAAGCTAGTTTAGTTCAGTTTTCCTCCTGCAGTAACACAGTAACATTGGATCAATGAGAGATGACTCTAACTGAATCAGTTTAGAATTGCTATAGCTTTCCAGTATAAAGCTAGTTTAGTTCAGTTTTCCTCCTGCAGTAACACTGGATCAATGAGAGATGACTCTAAGTGGATCTCTAGGGAGAACAGTTCAGAATTGATAGAGCTATCCAGTACAAATAAAGCTCGTTTAGTTCAGGTTTCGTCCTGCAGTAACACTGGATTAAGGAGAGAGGATTCTAACTGGACCTCTAGGGAGAACAGTTTATAACTCCCAGAGCTCTCTAAAACGCGTCTTTCACAGATTTGCATAAAGTATGCCAACCTCGTTCCCAGGCTCTTTGCTCTTGTAAGAGCAAAGAGCCTGGGAACGAGGTTGAAAGTATGCTCTTCTTTGTGTTCAGGTTGACTTGATGGGTGAAGTGGTGCTGGAAGTTTTATTGACAAGATTTTCCAACCCTCAGAACAGAAATGCATTAAACCAATGCTGTGATGACAAGAAAAACGCCTTGACCTGTGCAGACAGTTGTGATATATTTTTTGTCGTCTGCGTTCCACCCCAGGTTGCGCCTGCGTGTTCAAAGTCGGGAGTAATTTTGCGGAATAGTTCGGAGTTTATATCGTCCCAAGAAAATTTTACGTTCTCAAGTGGAAACACAGTTGGAAATTTCCTTTCAGTGCCTTTCAAAACTGACCCGCAGGTGCGAAGTTTATCTATTTCTATCGTTTGTCTTTAATATTATATGACTAAGGAGTCACTTTCTCCAGTTCTATATATAGGTCTAGTTTTTTGTACGGTAAACTGCGCAAAGGACTCAAACTAGCATAATGAATAATGTTATTCACTATAATTGGTCGTCCTCGTACCCAGGGCTTCTCGGCCGCGCGCGGCCTTCATAGTCCACGGGAAATGAGTAGTTTCTAATGCGCATACTTGTGAATTGATATCGCTATTTCAACGCTGGGACCAGAAACCCGAGTCCCAGATAAAGACCATAGGGGGAACGACGACCATACGAGACGGGGGAAACTCGAGAAAAGGTGGGCAGTTTTATCAGAAAATATGTTAAATTCAGGTTATTTCATAACTATCCTCCATAAAAATTCGGGCAAACTTTCAACTCCGCACGCCTATGATAAAGACATTGTCTGGGTTCACAATGTTTACAAACATTCAAATTTCACGTGAGAACATAATCACACAAAGCAAAAATACTTAAGTCTTAAAGTTACTCAATATTATATTTCTGATTGCTGCTCGGGCCATAAATATATATACAGATTATTAGATTACTTTTTGTATACATCTATACGGAATTACTCAAAAAAATATTACTTTATATAATAGAAGTCCTCCCTCCCCCCACCCCTGGTATACATGTACAGAATCACGCTGTCCAATGAATAACTTATGAGAAGGCCCTATAAGTACAGAAATATCAAAGTTCCCTAAAGTTTCTCATTTCAAGAATTTTGCTGCAATAAAACAAGGCAGTACAAATGTCCCAGCAAAGATAGTTGCAGCAACGGCGTGGTTTTTCACACATTGTTCTAATGTCATGTCCACGATATTTTCTTGGACGATTTCAGGATCGCTTTCAATGTTGACTTGATTGTCGAGTTCTAGGTTGTTTTCAACTTTAAGACTAATGTCACAAAATTCAGAATCTGATCGCTGCACGCTGTTTCCTTGCTCGGAGTATTCGTCTAGAAATTAAAATACAGAAATACCTAATTACCAAAAGTCAATTAATTATTTAAATACTTTGTTAGTTTGCTGGTTTGTGTGTTAATTTGTTACTTTGTAGGTTGGTTAGTTAATTAGTTAGTTAGTTAGTTAGTTAGTTATAGTTAGTTATAGTTAGTTATAGTTAGTTATAGTTAGTTATAGTTAGTTATAGTTAGTTATAGTTAGTTATAGTTAGTTATAGTTAGTTATAGTTAGTTAGTTAGTTAGTTAGTTATAGTTAGTTAGTTATAGTTAGTTACAGTTAGTTAGTTAGTTAGTTAGTGGTCTAATATTGGAATATTGGGCGTGGAAATTGCAAAGCCAACTTCGCAAGTTGCTTACAAGCCTGGTTTTCATATAGTCGTAATGGTCGTAAAAATAGAGTCGCGATCTTTCTCAACGGCCAGTTATAATGGTTTATACCTGTAAACTACATATGAATCATAAGTATTGTCTAGTTACACTCCGCGTATTTTCAGTTCTAAAATGTTGTATTTCGGCTGATGAGAAAGATCGTGACTCAATCTTTACGACCGTTACGACCATATGGAAACCACGCTTAAAGTTTTTTCAACTTTTTTTTCAATTCAATTTATTTACCATTTCATTCAGCTAATTTACATTGATTATTATAATAAAATTTAGGTATATTTATATTTATGTATGTCAAATTGAAACGAAAGGGAGTGGCGAAAAGACCTCAAGAATTCAAAGACTTGTATTAAGAGGAATTTTAAGGCAAAAGTTTTTTCCAAAATTTTAAGGCAAAAGTACCGAAATACTGAACATAAACTCGTAGTGTGCATTGTTTTAATAACATGGCCAACCCATTGACGAGTTATTTATTAAAGCTTTTAAAAAATACGTTTAATTCGTTGGCTACAGTAGTAAAACTTCGGCATTTTAGTAAGCAACGTGCGAAGTTGGAAAATATTCACAACAAACTTGGGA